AGAGAGAGAGAGAGAGAGAGAGAGAGAGAGAGTCCATATATGTCTTAGTCACAACTATATTTTTAGTCCTGTGCTTACTGTACACTAAGGCCCAGTAAATATCTGCTGGATGAATAAAAGAATGGATGAATGAAAGTGAATGGGGCTAAAAAATTTATCTACCTGCCTTTCAAGTCTTTCCTCTAGTTATTTCAAAGACTAAATGAATAGCTATATATAAAGTTTTTGTATATATCTAGTATATATAATCTATGATGTTGCTTGTAAGTAGTTAGCTATAATTTCAGAATTTATTAAAGTTTTTATGGAGATAATCTGTAGAGATAATTGTTGATCCTCTCAAAGAATAACTTCATGATGAAAGCTACACATGTCCACTATTGGCAGATAAAGTTCATGCTGTCTTTATTTTCTGTGTACTGTGATTGGCATCCTGAGATTGAGATTTTGTTTACAACAAAATCTCTCAGACTTATGCCTCTGCAGAGATGGAGATGGACTGTACTTTTGACACTGACTAAAGGCCCTTTGTCCTCTGCTGGTACCAGTTGCTGGAAAGGATCACCTGGGTCACTGGTGTTGTGCTCTGCAGGGTTTCAGGCCAGCCCTTGACTCATTACTTCTAGCTGGATCATTTCCAGAATATCCCAAGGACATGAGGATATGTAAACTTGGTGCCAACCATGTGCTTAGTAGTAGCTGTCACCTAGGTTTTCGTAATTTGGTTGGAAGTCATTTTATCAGAGCACTTTGAAGCATTACACACACTCACTCGCGCACACACACGCACACACACGTCATTTTATTTCCCATTACAGCCCATAAGTTGCCACATGTTCCCTCCAAAGGCCATTGTAGGAAAAACCCCAAATATAATATGTCACTGCATGGAGAAAAGTCCTCATGTCTTTGAGTCATTTGTATCTCTAACAAGTGCATTGTAATGGCTATGTTACCTCATAGAAATGTAGGATGCTATTATTCCAACCAAAAAAGGCAGTGAGGGAGCACTGACCTTTTCAAACCTCTGTTTCTGCACCCACCCAGCCCTTACTTCTTCTCCAAGGGGGAGGCTTTCCAGTGTCTGAGGACATTCTAAGGATGGAGACTCATCTCCATTACCCTGGGTGAATTTATTTTCTTAAAGGAGTCTCACATCCTTTCTTGATGATTAGTATCACTGTGGCTTTGTGGTTATTTTTTAAGGACCAGCAGTGTCTTGAGTTCTGTACCATACAGCAAAAGGCCCAGAACTACCCCCAAAGGGTTTTCTTTTTTTTTTTTTTTCAAGTCTTGTATTTATTTTTTTTCAAAGTTTTATTGATAAACAGATAGCAATGAGACAGTTTCAAATCAAATCGGTAGTACAGTTTCAATAACTAACACACTGCATATATTCTTCTTAGTGGTTAATTGCTGTACAATATGTGGACTTGAGATCCTATTTACAAACACCATTAGAACAAATC